GAAGTCCTTGACAACTTCAATCTTTTCTCCTTTGATAAGAATGTTGTTTATTGGTCCAGTGGTGAGGATTTTTGTTTTCTTTACATTGAGATACAATCCATGTGGAAGGCTGTGTTCTTTGATCTTCATCAGTATAGATAACAAAAATCCTCACCACTAGGCCAATAAATGACATCATGAGAAACGGAAAAGATTGAAGTTGTCAAAGATTTCATTTTGCTTGGATCTACAATCAGCATTCATGAAAGCAACAATCAGACATGAAATGATGTATTGCATTAAGCAAATCTGCTGCAAACTGTTAAAGACACTTTGAAGACATAAGGTGTGCCTGACCCAGGCCTTGATGTTTTGAATGGCCTCATAGGCATGTGAAAGCTAGACAGTGAGTAAGGAAGTTCAGAGAAGAATTAATGCATTTGAATTAGGGTGTTGATGAAGAGTATTGAAAGTACCCGGGCTTGCCGGAGGACCAACCAATTTTTTTTTGGAGGAGTTCCGGCCGGATTGTTCTTTGGAGGCCGGGTTGTTGGGCTTGGTCTCTTGTGTTTTGGACTTATCATCAGGAGGGATCAGTCCCTGGAGAAAAGATATCATGCTTGGTAAAGTGGAGGATCATCAAAAAAGAGGATGACCCCACAAGATGGACAGACACAGTGGCAGCAACAATGGGCTCAAACATAAATTGTGCGGATGGCGCAGGACCGGCCAGTGTTTCCCTCTGTTGCGCCTGTGCACTGAGTTGGAACCAATTTGTTAACACCTGACAGCATGCTTTTCCGTACAATACTTTTGGATTTACCCTCATATGGTACACTGGATACAGTCCAAACTCTGAGTAAGATCTGTGTTTAGAAACTCAAGGGGTCTTTGTCAAACAGCAGCTGTTCTGGGAAAACATGCTTCCCAGGTCTTTTGAGGGTGTGTGGAGGACTTGTTTGTCCTGAGCTCTAATGCTTTCTGCCGTTTTTCCATATTGTCATTTTATCTTCTGGCTCTGTCTTCTTGCTGTTGCTTGGGTCTTTACCTTCAGCAGCTTCAAGTCAGCATGAGCTTGGGGTTTAGACAGATTCCGGTTCAAATCCTGCCTCTGCCGTTCTAATTTCCTGAGATCTGATTGTGTGCCAGCCATCACTCCTGACCCCGCAAGGCACACGTCAGAAGCCCTGAGTTTACCAGACCCATCTCTTAGTTGGAGAAGACAGATAATAAAATCTCAGAGACAGGGATTAAGAAAGTGATCTGGCTGGGGGAAAGGGGCTGGTTGTGTTTGATGGACAGGGAAGGTCTCCATATGACCAACAGCAGCCAGCCACACTAAGACATGGAGGCCACTGTGGGAAAGTGCCAGGTGGGGTCTTAGGGAACCCGGAGCTCAGAGAATGTGTGGAACTCAAGGAAGGGCAGTGTGGGAAGCCGGGTTGTGTGGTGATATGGTCAAAGTAAGGAGTTGACACAACCACCATTCACAATCACACAAGTATGTTTACTGACCCCGTTTTACAGATGAGAAAATCAAGCACCAAATGGCCATAGTAATTTAGCCAAGATCATGTAAACTAACATGTGAGGATTAGGGATTTAAAAAAAAAAATTTTTTTTTTTATTCACAGTTAATGTAACGATCTATACTAATTCCAGAACATTTTCATCACCCAAATAAGAAACCCCCGTACCTGTTGGCAGTTACTCCCCATTCTCCTAAGCCTCTGACAGCTGCTAATCTACTTTCTGGATGTTTCTTATAAATACTTTGTGTCTGGCTTCTTCCATTTAGCATAATGCTTTCAAGACTCATCCATGATGTAGTATAGACCAGGATTCCATTCCTTTTTATGGTTGAATAATATCCACTCATCAGTTGATGGGCATTGGGGTGGTTTGCCTTCTGGGGCTGTTAAAGAATAATGCTGCTAGAGACATTTGTGTACAAGTATTTTTTTGTGGACATATGTTTCATTCCCTTGGGGTGTGTTCCATCTGGGAGTGGTCATTCTGTTGAACTTGTTGAGGAATTGCTGGGCTTTTCCACAGTGGTGGTGTTAAGTGTTGAGTTGGTTCTGACTCATCGAGGTTTCCAAAGTAGC